CGAGAGTAATGAAACGCCTGTTTTATCGTTACACACCTACTCTTAAGTTTGTTCCTCTGCTTTATCTACTCCTTTAACTATTGCGTCAACCAGAGAGGATGATTTGTCTTTTGGGCTCTCTTTGGCGGACAGTTTCGATGCATACCATCGCTTATGATTCCCTTAAAATTGTTCCAATCGAGATCTGGATGTCCGGTAAGAACATATCGCCAGTTTAATACCGATAATTTTCTTCTCATGGTAGCAAAATTCTCGTGCCAGAAATTCAGCCGAGACTCAATCCTTGAGCCACTTCTCTTCAGAACACGGTAAGACATCGACATAGACCTCTTGAACCGTGTCGCTGAAAGTCCCCAGGTACTTTACGGTAATACAAGGAGAAACACGCGCAGCAGAGATCAACTTCCCCTACTGAGGACTACTGAAGACTTAGAAATCAGCAGGGACAAAGCAAAAAGTAGAGTGCCTCTTCAATTTCCATGGTCATATTTACGGAGAAAAGCAAAGTTACGCCTCCCGACTACGACTTGACAGAAGGTCCTATGACCGACAACGTGTATTTTAGCGAAGCGATTGTTTACAAAGAGCTGCTGACGCTGAATGATTTAAAATCCTCCTCTCCAGATAAAATACTATTCAGATTGCTGAAGAAACCCCTTGGTGAACTATTCAGACGGTTCTTAGGTTGTGCAGGCGCTGGGTGACGAAGTTGCGCGTGTAGCCATTGGCTGTCAGTACCAGGCGAAGGTAGTGTAATTCATCAACCTTGTCTTCTGGTTCACCGCAGTGTGTCTCCGCACGCTGGTGTAGTTTCGTTACACAACTACGCTTATGACTGTTTGGGTTTTTACTGCAGTAGCTCAGTACTTGTGTTGTGTCTGTCGCCTTCCTGAATACTTTGGTTTTTAGGCCACCACAATCTTTGCGGCTGACGAGGACATCAGGAAAGGCCAGCTGGTTGTTTCCCTCTTTCTCCATCGTAAATTGGATGTCCGGTAAGATGACGTTGAGATGTTCTTTGAATTCCATCAGCAGATCCCGTTCGATGACGACGAAAGTACCATGGTAGGGGGCGCTCACCAATCGTCCCTTAAGAAAATAACACGTCCCGCTACAGTAAAATTTGTTTCTGCTCCTCGACTGTTGCTTGACCACCACCACCTGTTCTACGTGTCTGCTTTCGATTGCTTGGATGATGGGCCCTTCAGGGACGAATAATGAAGGACCAAATTTGGTAAAAAGGAGAACTTGTGTTCTAACCCGAGTGATTTCCCATCTACCCAAAACCCTGATCAGCCGTACTTTGTGACTCGTCCCGCTGATCTGGGACAGTGATGGTGTAAGTGCATGTGGTGTGAATGGCCAGTGCCTTTGCCTTTATTTACCACCGACTCTTATCCTACAACTGGTCGTAACGCTTGTCCCCCATATCTCTGTCTATCTATCTATCTATCTGCCTGCAAAGGCAACACCGACGTCCCTCCCGCGCAATTGCCCACAGCGCTGCATTCTTCATCGGCAGCTTCGCAAACATGTCGGTGTCGTCTCACCATGTATACAGGCCAACTCTCCGCTGAAACTCACTCCGTTCCCACATTTAACCATTATCATATATTTCCAGCTTCCTTCTGTCCTGTTAGACATGCGTGCCCACTTAACTCCTCTTTTTCCCCTTCGTGTGGCTGAGTATTGTGACACGTTAACAACTTTACTCAGATCGGGCTTGGTCAGGACTTATTTCCAGTGCCTCGCCTCCTCGGTGTGCTCAGTCTCTGACGTCCTCAGTCGCTATGTAAGAACGGGACTACAAACCGCCTGCCAACTCCAAACGCAGCTCCATCAATACGGAAACTGATCCTGGTGTAGTGACCGAGCGGGGGACGGATGTCGGATCACGTGTTATGAAGGAAAGGGATGATGATAACTTGAACTCAGATGGTCCAGCAGATTGGAAGATCTGGTCTAAAAGGTCTTGCATCTCCGAATGGACGGGATAGGGATAAATAGGCATACGGGACATGGGGTAAGCAGCACAGGCGATAAAAAGTATATTTTTTCGAATATACAAAAATGGAAAACTAATAAAAGAGGCTACGGCAAAAATGAAAAATACAATGAAACGACTAATCAGGAGGAGTCGGAGGTTATTCGTTGGCACGTGACTTCGGAGGCGTAGCTCCTGCAAGGTAAACGGAAGGAGAATGCCTCTAGCATGGCAGTTCATTAAAACACTCAAGGTCGGGTCCCTGGTCCAATCTCCGGCTGCTTCGTTCACTAGCGAACGAAATCAAAACTGGTGTGCACGAGCAAAACTAATCCCAGTGCTGCTCATGGATTGTATGTGGCTGGGAGACGTGGCATATCAGTGCCTCTCGGTCAATAGAGTTTCATATATCAGCGAACCTGAGGCAAAATGAAGATATCTAAGAGTTTCTTATCACCCGTTTTTCATCTAACAAGCACACAGTTTTGATGGTGCGCCTTTAAATCTGTCTGATCGGACCTTAATGCTGAAGCTACGGAAGAGGTTTATCCTTGGAACGCACCTGGTACAATAAAATTTTCGAGAAGAAATTGTCATTTGTTTTGCGACTGTATTTCTAAGCAACGACTTCATCTATTTTAAGTGGCAGGACTCGTAATTAGTCGTTTTCGTAAATGAAAGCTAACGTTCGTACGTGGTAAATGCCGGACATGCATGTCCGGCGGCGTTGCTGTATAGCGCCGTGTCACGAATTTTCGCTGTCGCTTTGATAGAGATCAGATGGACAAAATCCGCGCTCAGCCGTTGTACCTATCACGATTTCCACAACGAGTCGCTGTCGCTCCGATATAAAATCGCTACTAGGGATGCATAGATTTCGTTCGTATATAAACAAGATGAAATAACATAAACCGAAATAACGACATTTGATCAATTAGTTGTTACCCGAAGGTCTGTATAATCATTTAATCGAAGCACGGTGTGGTCTATGGTGTAAGCTTTCTCATACCCTATTCATGGCTGCCATTTTTGTACTGCAGATTTGCCGCGAATTCCGCCAACGACACTACCGCACGACCAACGCGAAGTCCCACTAAATATACTCTTTCTTCTGTGACTTCCTACGAGTTGCGTCTCCTTCCGAAGGCCTGGCCGAGAATTATGCAATCGAATTTTTGCGAAACTTATTCCCACCTCGTTCGAGTTCTCCGTCCAGCCACACTTTTTATTCGCGCTACGCTGTTCGCGACGAAAGATTTATGTGGATAACTGCCAGCCAGCTGGATGGCGAATATGCAAGCTGACCTCCTTGAAATGAAGTAATATTGTATCGCGTTCCGGAGCTTGAGAACTCCTCTATCATCGGCGACACTGCGCCTAATGATGCGAGCGTTGGCACAACACGCCATGGACGTTGTCTGCTTCTCATAGTTGCGCCTACTAGACTGGCTCTCATAGACTTAAGTTTGTCAATCTCACAGTGGTTGTAGTCCGAACACCAACACTAGGTGCCAATAACATGCAGGAAGACACCTTACATGACGGACCTCAGGCGACAGTCTGAAGTGTCCCGGTGGCTGAGCCTTCTTTGCGGGGAATTAAAATATTAGGGTGGCGGACTTCTGTGTATCTCCTATGCGAATCCCTAATAATAACGTGGTGGGAAACCGTTATACGAATAGTGAATAATTCGTAACTTTTCTATATTCAACCGCTTGCTGGTTGCAAATTTTTATTTTCTGATACCACAGGAGGCACCTAGTCACCTGACGATAGCTCAGAACCAAATTTACTACATGCCCTAACACGCTTGGTTAGCTCAGTACTAGACTTGCGCGGCTCGTCCTAACGACACGGTCAATAAGAGTGGCTCCGATCTTGCTCTTGTGATCCTCGCCTACGTCTGAAAACATGTGTTCACCTAAAGACACAACCTGCGGAGAAGTGCAACGCTGTCCGTATAAATTATCCTGCCACCGCCACAGATACCTACCTCACCCATTTACCCCGCTGACCCCAAAAACAGTGAAGTGCCTTTATTTGAATACGTATCCCTTTTAGCAGAGGCAACATCTCTAACGTACCTCGCAGGATGCACTACACCAGGGCTGGCTTTTCCACAAGGTTGAGGTCTCCGCATCAGCAATCGGAGTTCCCGTTCGCCTTCGTGGCAGTCAGAATCTCAGAGAGTTGCGCCGTGAAATCATACGATGTTTGACACGACCGTAATGAACTCTGAAGTAAAACTGACTGATATATTGTACATGCTTCAGTTATCGGTTAAACTTGGGCAAAATCAATTGGTCAAATCCTATAATTTGTCTTAATCAGGCAAACCAAAGGTCCGGTGATAGTTCTACTAGGAGCATTTGGCACAGCCTTTGAATCCGACAGACCCACCTCACCAGTTGCCGTCTATTTCGAAGATGTACCGATCTTAGTGTATACCTGCAACTGTAGTCTATCATTTACCGGGTGTATCATTGATGCGATAGCAAAACTGAAGGCCAGCGGGACACAACTTCCCGACAAAAATCTGCAGGTGCTGTTTACCGCTATGCTCTGACCGGTTGCACAGTCATCCGACTCCACTTTTAGGAGATAAAGTGGTGCCCACAGAATTAGACGTTACTATTATGATCTCCAATGGAGATGGCAGATCGTACAGTAAGACCTTCCGTACAATTAGCCTTACTGACACCACCGTGGACGTCCTTGTGGCCCTTCTCGTTTGGTCGGACTTACGCTTCGGTGCGTTGACGGAGTTCATACGGCTTTCGGCCGGGTCGATGTATGTCGATCAGCACTTCTCCGTTTGTTAACACTTGGGCTGGACTACTGTTAAATACAACCCATTTTCGTCCTTTTGGTACCTGTTGATCGTGCTGCATGTATCATAGCATACCATTGCAACTTCTTCAATCACACAACAAGAACCAATATCCTTGGTTGGATGTCGCCTCCGGTACCCATCACTAGCCTTTCGACTGCAGTGTAGATTAGTTTTTTTCAGCCCATGCTGGCCGATAAGGCTGGTGTTAAAGTAGGCCACCGTCCGTACTTCACAGATCCGGACAGAAGTGATCTCTGAGACTTATTTGATATAATCGCAGTACTTACGCTAGCTCGAAGTCCAGAAATTTCTTTCGAAGATTTTGCGCAACTTTATGATGCAGTTCTGAGACGTTCGGCCCACCAGTGCACCCACCTCCGTTCCGCATGTGGAAAAGACGCATTTACATTTCTCAATGCCACTCTTCTTTAATTTTGTCAAAAATTAATGTAAGGACTCAAAATAAAGTTATCAGGCTTGGACTTAAATTCGAAGCAACTCACAGTAACTACAGCGGAGTTACCGCTTACTATCGAGATTTCAGCCTCGCCCCGGGCTTTACGACCAAACATATCTGTCTGATCTGGGCAGGCAGTGAAACTTTTGAGTTAGTAGGCTAAGCGAAGGTGGAATCAACCATCAGATCAGTCAGCCCCGGCAGTCTTTGGTCTAGTTGGTGAGAGGTCAGTACAAAGACCGGGCTACATTAGCACATATATCCGTCCCAAGGCGTTTGTTCTTTTCCCAACTTACAGCTACCGAAACCAGCGCGTGACAATGCACACTTCAATATTTCTATAGCTCACACTACGAGTACACACGTCTATGTTTCTGGTCGCGAGTATTGTTCACTGCAATAGCTACCCCAGTATACCCTCCTATCCGTTGGTAATCCGCCGTTCTTATTGGTTTGGCCGCTCTGCGATCTAGTAGGTGGTGTCTGAGAAGACGGTCAGAGGGACGACTGCGACACAAAAACTCCATTCCTTATTGAGATGGTGGCGCCAATAAATACTGCTCTCACCCGACTCTACGCTCTGCAATGGACAGCAGGACTGCTTTCATTACGACTGATTTCCTCTTAGCAGAAAGACAGTCTTAGTCTTACCAGTTTCCATATTCATTTGGGACCCCTAAAGTCCAACGACACAACCAGAAGTGACTATGATGTTTTTCGACACGGCCAAGCAATTTGCATCCACCTCACCCGTATGTAGCACAAACTCTCCCTCAAACACCTGGATTAAACAATTCATATGGCGGTTCATGTTCCCCAGAAAGCCCAAAACCCATTCCTCGCCACCAATACCACACACTCGTAACTTCCTTAGCAACCATCCTCACTGCACGGGTGGAGCAATTTTGTCTCACTACAGCGGCTGCTATCCTGACGAATTATTTACCCCGAACTGACATTCAAAACCTTTATGACATGGCGCCTTCAATAAACCTTTCCACAGACAAGTGGGCAGACTTTCTGCTCTTACCGTCAGGGCGGGTCACGCCACAAATTTTTTAACAGGAAACTTAGCTAGGCAGTCAGTAATAGGAGTCTGGAGCATCAAGACGGAGAATTGACATGTTGATGCTTGCCGATTTCTCTCAAGTTTGTTGACACTGCTTCTCGAGCCGAACCGCTCACAGCTGCGCCATGCAGCGGCAGAATACCGGCGAAACACGCGTATACGGGCTTTTGATTAGCACCTGTGCTGTGGGTATGGTATCACCCTACTCTAAAGTGTACTACTAGCTGCCTGTCGGCAGTTAATGAATATTATGCGGTTACCCGCTGTGGCTGATGGACTTCGGCCCATAAAAGTCTCGGTCTGAGTCTACAGACCTTGAATAAACTGATTTGCTCCAAGTTCGTAGTTAATTTCTAAGGAAATTAAAAAACGACAATTTCTAAATTGGAGTATCTACCAGAAAACAGACGGAGAATGCTGGGGCACCCACTGACGATCCGAACTCCTCGCAGCTGCGCCATGCAGCGGCAGAATATCGGCGAAACACGCGTGTATGGGCTTTTGCTTAGTACCTGTGCTCTAAGTATGGTATCATCTTACCCTAAAGTATAAGAACTGGCTTTACTTGCGCGAGGCAGTGTTTAGAAACGTCAATGCTAACGGTAGCGACTTGTACTGCCTGTCCCAGACTTTTCAAGAGTAGAAGAAGACTCTCCCAATAAGGCTGCTATCCATATTGGCATTGTAATTTTGTTAGCAGTCAAAGGCCACTCTACTAGGGATCCGGCAAGTCTAAATCCCGCTCAAAGAAGATAGCTACTCGTACTCTGAACTGGCAGGACACACGCTAGACGTCAGTGGTGGAGGGGCCATCTGTCGAACCAACAAAAATGGCAGGTTGATTTTACGAACTGCACAAGTGGCATAAGATTAGTACCCCCTCCTACCAACTCTATCGTCCTACATGACAAATGAGTCGTCAGAGCCTCATTTTTTCACGTCTGACTAACATGGCTGTCAGTCCTTGGATGAATTAAAGGGGTCCTGAGTCACCGCATAGGGGGCCGTGCCACCTCAAAAAACGTTGCCTTCGCATCCTAAAATGCAGCCTTGATATGACAAAGACTTGTTCTTTAAATGCTAGCAGGAAGAAGTCACAGTTGCCGTCTGTGTGCTCCCAGAGGCACAACTTCTGACTTAGAGGCCCTTGGTAGTGCTTCACACCAGATCACGTACATGTTGGCGACCGCTTGCAATGCTCGGCTGCAGGCTAAACCATGAGTTCCACTCCCGTCGAAGTCTTGGCTGATGGCCAGAAATATCATCCCAAGCCCATAATCACGACGGCAGAATGTTTTGGGGGGTATGCTTTCGGTGCATGGGTCAAGTGACCTTGAAATTCATCCACACTGGTCGCAGGACTGTAGTAGCATTTACTAACTGGGAATTAAGGTCCCAGGTATCGTAAGTGGAAAACTACCTCCCCCCAGTTTGCACTAGCACCGTCGTAGAAATAAGGTACCGTCCAATAGGACTCTGCGGATATGCTTGAACGGTTTTTACGACCGCCTTGTGCCATTAAACGAACAAGCTATTTAACGAAAAATTTATGACGACTACTACGATCCCGATATCCAAGTATTAGAGTGGTTTCTTCCTTGGCGTGCAATGCCCGGCATTTCCACTACCCAGAATTCAGTGCACTTGCTTTTCATTTTGCAGTCTTTGTTAATTTTAACTGTGCTCGCATGTCTCCAGAGCTACTCATTTTACAGAATTTATTTTGTTTCACCGTCTACTCTATAGGTTTGGCTGGCGGCGATTCAGAAGATTCCTTTTCTACACAAATGGAAGACAAACTTTCCGCCTTCCATTCATGGGTAAACAGTCTGAATAAGCCACTCACCTACCCCGGGACTTCTCTGCTCCGTATATCCGACAGCATCTCCATTGGCGACCGGGGACTTGTCGCTTCTACAGAAATTAAACCAAACCAGTGCATTCTATCAATCACACTTCTCGATCCTCGACTTCTTCTAACTCCCAGCAGAGCGCTCCGTCTTCTGACTCTCTGCGACTGTGATTCAGTTGATATTAGAACCAACGCCCATGTGGAACCGATGGATGCCCTTGTCCTTTTCTTCCTTCATCTCCGGTGTGCCTCACTTCAGTGCTCCGAGTCCTGTCTCTTACTGCCATTGTGGAGGCCCTACCTGGAGGTTTTGCCGTCTCACTTTACGGATGTTGCTTTCGTTTCGATCCGTCACCCCGATCTCTACGCGCGCGTCTTGTCCACCCTCCCATCGGACGTGAGTTTTGCTTTCAGAAAACAGTCCTCTCGCGCCCGCACTGCCTTTGAACGCCTCTTCGGTAGCGGTGGATCACAGGCCTATCAGCAGCCCCGTATGCTAGCGAACTTTGCGTGGGCCTGGTCACTAGTTAATTCGCGTTGTGTCTACTGTAAACTTAGCCAGGACGTAGATGAAAGAACGTCGGGCTTCCCTCTCCTTGGCCACCAAGTCCTTAAACAGAAAAAGTACTGCATGATAAATTCTCAGAAGGCCTCGGACTTGGCAATTGTGCCTTTCTTTGATTTCTTTAATCATTCTCCTGCGGTCTCCGTAAAACTAAATTTGGACGGAAACTGCGTACGGCTTTCGTCTTCTGGCGGTACTCTATCAGGTGATCAGGTTAGTCGCTTGCCGTTTTTCCGATTTACTGGAATATTGTAGGAATTTAGGTCCCGTGTCGGACCTAAGATCCACCATAAGCGCATGAATAGAAACGTCGAACTGCCCAAACCATCACGTTTAAATGTTAGCCATGAGTGTAGTGAGTGGAATGAAATGTCCAGAATTTTGAGAACAATCGCCAATAACTCGGTAACCGACCCTATTGCATCCAGTAGAATAAAACAAAAAATAAACTACTTCATGTGAATTTCCAGAATTTCCAAACTGAATTTCTTAAATTAAGACGTCTACTTCTTTCTTGAAAAGGAAGCAATTTCGGACTTCTTGTCTCACCTGATTTACGCTAGTGGAGGAATCGTCATCGCAATTTGCAAGAACTGTTTATGAAAACTCCTCCCATTTGTGTTAATGACCTATTTCATAAAAGCACACAAGTACACAGATCTTGTCTGCCATAGAACTAGTGTTGAAAATAATTTTTTTCTGCGTGGGAAGGTCTATTTTCAGCCAAAACTTCCTCGTTTTCGTTAATGACGCAGCTCACCACCGTATCTTTCATAAGCAGGTATCTTTTCACAACCAATATGCCGCCACCGGACGATTTGCGTTTCGTTCACTATGTTTCATCAATTTCGCCACCTACTGTATGCGGGAACTCTATGTTAAGACGCATCGCAGTTTATCGTAATAATGTCGAGCGATATCGACATCGGCCTCAGCGCGGCCTTTTATAAGTTCCCGATATTTTGGGCTAAAAGGACCTGGCGTCTGCAGGTATACGTATGCTTGGTCTTTGGTCAGTTATCACAAGAGGGGGCTGCCAGCTGGCCAATGCTGTCGCTCAATAAGGCCTCTGAAGTGTATCCTTCGATAAAACCTATTTCTTTTCTTAAATTTTAATTTAATGACAGGATTTTGTGAGGCGGTGAAGGTCTCACCGAGTTGAAAACGGAGTTAGGCTCTCGCTCTTATCACCAACAGTAGCAGGCTTATCTCCTGAAGTGTTGACTGGAATTCTGATTAGGAAGGATTACTTATGCGGCGTTGCTATGTTGATTATCGTGTAACATAGTCCCATGATATTTCAGTCACATCGGAATGCCGGTCTTCTTTCCATCCTCCGGAGTAACATACCAGTTGTTCATCAGTTTTCGATGCCCCTATAAATTCAAGTATATTTTACAGAAAATATACGCGGAAAACATTCTCTCTTGTTCTCATTTGGTAGCAAATTACGTCTCCTTCAACTTTTATACTTGAAGAAAGGGCATATTCCGGTTTAGAAAAAGTTTGTAATGATTTTGAAGACCATGAAGCGCCCATACATACAGCATGGTATCTGCCCGTTTGTTACTGCTGCCTGTGAGGTATGCAACATGGTTCATATTCATTGCAAAATTTTATGAGTCTTGCATGTTATCTTAATGGAGTAGAAAAATGCTTGGTTCTCCCTACATGGGAAATACACAGCTTGTAGTTTGCAAACCCTTAGCGCTAGTTCAACTGCTGGTTGGGTCCAAAATCATTCGAGGGTCGAAAATTGTCCTAAAAACCTAAAAGTACCCCCCCCCCTACAAGTACAGGATTTACAGAAGACGTGATTTGCTGCCAAGTGAGTATAAAAAAGCATGTTTATACATTTTTTTTCTGCAGAATATTATCTCTGAATTTGTAAGGGCATCGAAAATCGACGCTAAAATGCATGCTACTTAGATAGCCACTTTTGGCGAGTGGGGTTTTCGCAGCAGCCGGAAAGGAGCTCATTCAAAAGCCGAAATTTCTAGTCGAAAACACTTTTCGGGATTTTGGATAACTTTTTGTGTGATAGGCCATCTGCTGTAAGTGGCTTCATGCGCGCCATTTAGAGACTGATATTTTGCCTTAAAATTTATAGCAACCATATTTCACCTTATGGCCATATTTGTAATTATTTGTGCAATCATTTCAGGTCTTCATCAACTACGGTGACCACGACAATCTGTTCCTTCTGTGCGAGTACGGATTTTGCTTACCTGATGGCCTAAATCCATCAGACGTCTACTTCCCAACATATAGCGACTTGCTTATCGTCTCGCCCAGGATCTCAGATAAGCTTGACCATGTTCTTACTGAGTTGCATATCGACGGAGACATCGGTGATCAGTCTTCCGATCCGTCCGATTGTGCTAATCGCCATTGGAAGTCTGTGTTCATCACCAGAAGTGGACCATCCTACTTCCTCCTCCTCATTCTCTACGCGCTTTCTCTTGGATCGAGCGAGCTACCTTCCGCTAACCAGCTCTTTGCCATTGACGAAGACGAGTGCCTTGCACTCGCAAAGCCACTTTTTCTGACCCTAGTAACAAGTGCTCTAGTCCAAACAAGACAGACCTTGCAGCAACTGGATAGCGCCATGACCGAAGAAGAGAAGAGCGGTTTTGTGGGCCAAGTAGTTTCTCTTCTTCGTTCAAGATGCCTCTTCTTCTCTTCGCTAATAAACGAATCAACGCAGATGGCCAAGACCTGACTTTGTGTTCTTGTTTTTAATTTGGAGATTTTGGGGGAGAGCTCGCTGTTTACCCGTCCAAGCGTTCTCCAAACTGTCCCTAAAGACCAGATGTTTTCATCGCCGTTATTTTCTTTTAATACCATGCAGAATGGTGCCGGGGGAGGGGGGTTGGATCGCGGTCACGCAACCAGTTCGTGCAACAGCTATTCCTGATGTCATGCTCAGCCTTGAGTCACCCGCACCGACGAGGTTTTCGACTGGTTCTAACATCCGGTCTGTCCCATGTCCTGACTATCCGTACTCCATCTATCAGAAACACGTAAAAAGTACCGATTCTTCATTTGACTGGTGACCGTGTGCACAGATTAACAAGTCATGAGTAAATGCATTCAATCCTGCACGTCCCTGATGAATAGAGTGGCCAACTTCCGCAGCCCGCGGTGTTGTATGCACCCGAACACGAGCTCCAGTGCAGCGTCCCCAGCTGGAGGAGGGAGCAACGTGGATGAGCACTGACATCGTTTAAGTTTGTGCGAAGCCTACCCCACTGACAGGGGTCTAACAAGACGAGGAAATTGCGGCTCTTCTGTACACCGCTGTCCCAACTGATTGCCGGCACATTTGCTCGTTTATTTCCCCCTGGTCCCCTAGTCCCTTTCCATCTAACCTAAAGCAGGCACTGAAACGCACAAAATATCATCTGGTATCCTTTTGGGTATTGTGAAATCGGAAAGATCACAGGGGTAACATAGCTGCTGGCTATGCGATAGTGAAACATCCTCCGGCGAAGGCTAGTTGCGAAACGAGTAGGCTGTCGGGTCCGGCGAACAAGCAGTCGTGAGCCGGTGGTAGCAGAACCATCAGGTCTGGCACACCGACTGCCTTATAAAATGCTGCCCAGTCCGGTGTCGGCATCGTGACTCGACGATAGTGAACCGCCATTAAGTAGATTTGCTTGCAACCGCTGCCTTGAACCAAAACGCCAGATGGGTCGACCTTAAACAAACAATCTGAGTAACTGTTGGACACCTGCTTTTACTCAAAATTCCCAAGAAAACTCGTAAAATTGTCCGATTCAAGTATCGCGATCTACTCCACAGCGTCCGCAGGGACCCACGAGCCCCGAAACCCTGGTCCAGTGGTGCGAGCAAACAGCATGACATCTGGACTACCTACTTACAAGTGGATACGTGCTGACATTTCGGCCGCCGCGAGCGGTAACGTCCACCGTATACCCTACGGGGTGGGTGCGGCACCGCTGACTTGCGCGTGACTCGGTTTATGGTGGGGCAGACTTGCGTAGCATCTGTCGCACTCTCCTCTCCTTCAACCTTTCTCCGATAGCGAGATGCCAGGACGACTAGAGATGAGCTCCAACGCAGTGTCTGACAGCTATACAGCCCATCCAGACGTGAAGCACACGACATGGTCAGCCCACGGTAGACCAGGCGGCTCGGATTCCCTCTGCGTGAGTGCGCCGTAAACGCTACAGTGATCCGGGGGCCATTGGAACTGCTTTTCTGTACCCCAACCAGTCACGGCTTATACATTGCGCCGACCATGAGGGCCGAGTTAATCCGTCAATTGGCAACCTCTCAAGCACATCAGATCTTTGTGAGGAATGTAGGTAATTGCTGCGCGGATGGATTCTGCAGTATCGGACTCGCCCTCCCCTCTTTCGTGTACCATTCGACTGACAGCCTGTTGACCACCCGGTGGTGGGATTGGATTCAGCGACTGACGGAGCTAGAACAGTCCGTCTGCGTGTATCACACATGACCGAATCACTTTGTATGCCAAAACGCATCGACAGAGAATATGCCCCCAGCTTACCCGAGATGTGCATGTGACTTTGCGCCGGCAAAGCGGGTCTCATGTTTGCTGCCGATTGTCAGGAGGTGTAGCGTGTGACGTAGAGTGAAGTGGGTTCATCTGTGGTCTAGCAATATGTGTGTGAAGATGTGATGATGCGGTCGGGAGTGCGGTTTTATCGGAAAGACGCATGTAACTCAATGATCGAATGCTGTAGGCCAGTGAGGCGGGTGGGATGGGTGTATATAGGGGCTCCTGTCACTGGTACGCCAGTCTCAGTCTAATGGATCCCAAAGTGCCCCACTAGCCTGATGCGTGACGCAAGTGCGCGGTGGCAGTAATGGCAGCTTGGGACCGTGGCTGCGGAGCTGGCAGTTTATCAGTGTTATTGCTGATGGCGTTGTTGGTGATGGCGGTTGCAGGAGTTCTCAGGTGCTGGAGGTAGGTATGTTACTACGACATGGTGCTGAATTTCGTTTTTGTGGGTTTGCATATGACCGATTTTACCCAGGCCGTGTCTGAATGTCAGGTAATGTGTATATTCCGCGGGTGTATCGGTGCTCCAGGCACTGATTCGCCGGTCTCAATGTGCCTGATGCGGTCTCAGTGGGACAGGGCGAAGTCAAGTCTGCACTGTTGGTGGGAGGGACAATGACTGCATCGTTTGCCAGGACGAAAGGAGCGCCCTAATTGGTATTTTTAGTGGTGACGGTAGCGGCGGTGTAATGTGAGACTGGATGGTTTAGTTTCGTTGAAATTGCACTGTCCTCACAGGTGTCCAACAAGGCCACTACGTGCCTAAAATGTTCGTTGACAATGGGAACATGATGGCAAGGGTTGGGTGCTGACGTCATAGATCCGTAGCCCTCAAGTCTTGCGCGTCTCCCTCTTCGCCTCGTCAGTGACTATTCGAATAGACCTGAAGACGGCTGCTTCAGTATGCCATGCCTGTCGATCGGGCCTCCCAGGTATCTGGGTCGATTTGCAGATGCTTGAAGGAGGTCTTCAATGTGCCCTTGTAGCGACATTTTTGTCCGCCTTGCCTGAAACCACCCGTAGTCACGTTGCCGTAGAAGAGTCACTTCAATTGACGCTCGTCGTCAATCAACATGGAGTATAACGTAATACAAGAGAGGGTATGAGTGACTACGCAGCCCTGCTTCACTCCATTGGTCATTTCGGATGCTTCTGAGACTGACCGATTTTCTATGGAACGCGCCATTATGCCGCTGTGGAGCTGATCCAACTTGTGTATGAATCACTCAGGATAGTCTAATTGCTGCATCATTTTCTAGTGTCCATCACACTTCACCGTGCCATAGGCCTCCGGCAGGTCCCTGAGGGTAGTGTAGAGGTGAGTCCACATTTCTTGACACTTCTCTTGTGGTTGGTTGTCGGTGAAGATCATATCCACAGTGCCGCGGATGCTTTGAAAGGAGAAGTCACATTTTCTGGGTGCGTGTTCATGCAATTGGGGAAAACGCAGACGAAAATTTTCCCTGCAGTGTTGAGGAGGAAAATGTCTGGGTGGGTGTAACAGAATTGCCGGTTTCCTTTTTGTTTGTAGAGGTGAACGGTTTTCGCGTTCTTGAATTTCTGGGTAACTTGTTCTTGGCGCCATATTTCCTGGAACATCGTTGTAAGTTTGCCCATCGGCCGGGACCGCGATGCTTGTAGACTTCAGCAGGGATCGCGTCGGATCCCGATGCTTTCCCTCTGGACGGCTGTTGCGCGGTTCTGATTGTTTCTGGGAGGTAAGACATGAGGTTCAGGTTAGTGTTCTTTTCCATCTGAAGGCGCTGGTCGATGGTGTCGTCGGCGAAGGTGGATAGGTTGTTGAGAAGGGTTTTGAAGTGCTCAGCTCAGTGCCTCAGGCTCCGCGATTTCTCCGCGAGTAGTGTTATTCCGTTGGAGCTGAGAATCAGCGCGGTTTCTTTGGTTATAGGGCTGTAGCCTGCCCTTATGGAAACGAAGATATTCCTCGTTTTGTTGCGGTCCGCGTACCCTTGTATTTCTTTGACCTTGTTGTCCATCTAGGCGTCCTGTATCTCGTGCAACCGTTGCTGTACTAGGTAGTAATATCTGCAGACGGCCGCCCTTTCGGCGTCAGCCCCGCATTCTGCGTAGGCTTTTTGCAGCCTATTCATGACGAGCGGATCCTGGGCTATGCGCGTTGAAGATGAGCGAAAGCTGGACGCGCCTGACCATAGCCGCCTGAGAACCTTCCCTCGGACTAAGTGCACTGACTCGGTTTCGAATGAACTTTATGTGAATGTCTCTGGGCTTCTGGTCGCTCTTGGTGGCTTGCGTCTCAGAACTTCCGTGAGCAAAGAGAACAAATATTCTGGTTTAACAAAGTCCTAATTCGGCCTTTTGGGATTTGATTGGTGAGAACTATTTTCATAGTGCAGACTATAAAGAATACGGGTAGGTTTTGAAGTCGGATACGTTCGTTCCTGGTCCGAGTCGACCTGTAGCAGTCCCCTCCATGGTCGCCGTTGCGAACGATTACTCGTGCGGCCTTTCTATCCGCCCCACGCTCCCTATCAGTTCACTACATGAGCCACCTTCGACTGGGTATTAGCGTGACAAAAACTCGAGGCCAATCGGCCCTGTGTCCTTCGCTGATTGGCGCAGGTGGATAAAGCCCAGGCTGACATTCTCCTTAAGAGACCACTCGCTGCAACTGCCTACTGAGCTGCACCTACACTCCTTCGCATCAGTGAATCTTGTAAAATAATTCTGTCTTCCCTGACTTGAGATTTGGGGGCGTTCTAATAGTCGACCCGTCGCGCTTCGTCAAAACCACTTCTGAGCTACGATCGACATCTTCCCGAACTGTGCGGATTGCCAATATTCTCTGCTATCTAACTTATAATGAGGGCCTACTGTAATTAAGCCATGTGTCCAGCTGGGTTGTGAGCCCAACCTCGAAGACTGGGGTGTGAGATTGCACAAATTAGACTTGTCGTAGTTCGCAATTATATCAGGTAAGAGGGATCATTTCAATGCAGACTATGGGGAATATGCCCTGCAGTTGTACACCTCCCGGTGATACAAAGCTTTCGGCTGTTCGAGTTTCCCTATTTTCCTTAGTCCTTATTGGGGAAGGGATTGTTTTACTGCATAGCCAATCGAGAAAACTTTGCGGCCTCGGTATGATCCGAACCTCCGACGGAAAAGCCTAGGTTGGAGTATAACCAACG